ACAGCTCCACATCTTCCTTGTTTATATATAAATTTTCACTATTAATATCTTGTTGCAATAAATACAATAATTCAGACCTCTCACAATTACAGTAGCTGACAGACAGAGGTCTCAATAGCTTGAACTTCCTTTTCAACTGTAGAAGCACAGAATCCATTTTAAATTAATTTCTGAAGAATAACATAATACAGGTAGGTGTATGCTGTAATAGACAAGCCCTTTTGTTAAGCTAAAACATCCCCAAAAAAGGGATACTTTACGTTGCTGAGAAAGCAGAAGGATGGCAATAGATAAAGGCTTGCCCATGCCTAAAATATTCTGTAACTTTCAAATGTAAATGATTTTTCCATTCAAAAATAAATGTTGTCAACCTGGAGCAAAACAGAAAGCTTGAGATTTTTTTCTGGTAACTTAATTAGTGTGTCAGCTTAGTACGGTCTTGCTGCCAGAAGTGTCACCTGTGCCTGTAATCACAGTGGTTTTTTATGATCTGCAGTTTGACAGATTTCCCATAGCTCTTCCAGAGTTCAGATATTTTAGATTCCTGCCTGGATTAATTTCTTTACCTAGTAATTGCATTTGGCAAAACTAGAGGCTTTCTCCAGTTACAATTGGACAGGCTGCTTTTCCCTGTAAGTCCCAAACCATTACTCTTGAGTTAAAAAGCTTGTTCTCTTTTCCTTGCAATGACTAAAGTGGCTTATACATAAACCATGTGGTTATAAATCAAATCTGACAGGCTTTTAGAGAGAAGTACCCACATGAATAATTTACAGTATTTGAGTAGCATTTCTGACAGCTCTGCTCTCCAGAACAAGGTCTTTTTTTTTTTTCTTCTACTCAGTCTTTATAAATGTGAAACCAGTTCAAGAGTGGATTGTTCATTTTGGTTTTGTAGCTGTGAGGTGTTACCATTTCACACCTGGAACAGAGCTTGTACTCCAAACACTGAGTGTAATAAAAGAGAGCGCCTCTTCATACAAACCTAGCTCATTATCACAGGGATTTTTGTTTCTTTTTATGAGATCATAGAAAGATTATTTGTGAAGGGAGTAGTGGTTAATCCATTTAATGAAACATGAATTGTGGAGTAATGCAAAGAAATGAAAAAAAAATGCAAGAAATTAAGTAGGATTTATCTTCTTAGAAAGCAAGTGTATTTCAAATTTAGAATTGTTTGGAATGATCTGTTTAATAAGGTGCTATATTATTTTTATCTAATGAAACTTTGTGGATCTTTTAGAAGGCAAAAGTGACAATGGGTGCTGAATTTTAAAACAAAATTGTGTGGGAGAGAAGTAATTTACACTTAACATTGCTATTAAGAATATGTTTGAACGAGTAACCAACAAAATTGGAAAAATATACAGTCTAAAACACAGCAACACGTGTTCAGGTAACCAGTTTGGAGTGGGATTAGATTTGTAATTGCTGGGAAAGTAGGGTCCTAAAACAACTTTCAGTAGATATATTGATTTTTGGTGAATTCATGATCAGTGTATAAAGGCTGTTATGACAGGAAACTCGGCATAATGAGTAAGGAGATGAGTTTCTAGAAGATGGGTTTGTTTCCTACGTGGGAATTGTTCTACACACCCAGAGTTTTCTCAGCAGCTGCTCAGTTCACTACCACCACACAAACAAATATCTACTTGTAGAGTGCTGTTGAAAATGAATATTTGGTATCCAGTTTCCCAAAATAGCTGTTTTTCTGATTGTGTACCTTATATGTTCAAATTCTAAGCTTTTATGTTAGACATTTAAAAAAAAAAAAAACAACAAAAAACCAAGATCAAAATACAGTGGTAGTAATAAATTTTAAGATTCTTTGCCTGTTCTAGTCTATCAGGGTAATGTTTTGGAGCACAGTGCAACACCTGTAGTCTTGTGTGTGTTTTTTCTCAGTGATAAGAAAAGTTTCTGAGAACATTACCTGCTAAACCAATAATTATTTCTTATTTACAGGGAATTCCCTGTAAATAACAAATAATGGTCACAATCACAGAGGTAATAAATTATAATTTCTAGATGTCTTTAAACTGATGATAAACTGCTTTTATCATCCTGCATGCAGAGCACATTTGAACTTTAATTTTTAGTATTTCAAGATGGTTTGAAAATACAGCTTGTTTTAACATGAGTTTACGAGCCAGGCAGTCTCCCAGCACTGTCCTGGCCCTGGAGGGTGTTTGAGGCTCTTTTGTACTCATCAATAGCTTATTATCTACTTCAGTATTAATGTTTCATGAGAGTTAAAACATTGTGGGGCGGGGTGTGTGTAAGGAAACAATATTCTAACTGAGGAGTGGAAGCACCTTGCCTTCCCTAGCTCCTGGCTCTGCTATTGAGCTGGATTTAGAACTCCATTTGCAGAATTCACTTCTTTCCTCTTCTGAATTCCTACTCTTAGTAATTTAGAAATTGAAATTCCATCACTTTGAAATGTTCTGACTCTTGCTTTGAGACGTAGGGCTTTGCTCTGCTGCACTTCACCAATTGAAAAAACCAAACCAAAACCCAGCACATTGCTGTGTTAGAATGTTTGCTTTAAACCAGGCTGACAGCTGAAAAGCAAACTGTTCCTACAGGCAAAGCCTGAAACTAAACTGGCATCGTCTGTCTCCTTCACACAAGCTGTAGAGTAACAGATAATTTGAATACAAACCACTGACCTGTTTTTAAACTGTTTATTGCAAAGAATTATCTTGCTGGAGTTTTCTAGAAGCATCTGATCAGTTGGATTAAAACTGTACGATGTGAAGCTGTTTTCAGATTCTGTACTTTCTTGTTCTCAGTCAGAATCAATTCCCATATCTTATTCAGAGCTTCATTAAAAGTCTGTCTCTCTTGAGAGAATTTATACTGACAACGGTGATATAAAAACTTAAAAAGACTTAATACTGGTTTCAGTTAAAGCTTCAAAAATTTTGCTTCAAAATGCCACCCACCTCTTGTGCATAAATTGTTGCAGACTGATGATAGGGCTACTTAGGCAAATACACACATTTTGTGCATTTCTCAAGGGCTTTGTAATAATTAAGATCTGATTTTGTTGGCTTTTGTTGGAGTGAGGAAAAAAATGTAGTATTGTTCAAACTTTGATTCCTGTGCCACTCACCACAGGTATTATTTTTTTCTAATTGTCTCCCTCAGGGTGCAACAGACTCTTCTTAACAGGGACAGTAGCCTGCTTAAATCAGAAGTGTATTTCCTGGTAATACTAATTTTTCTATGTTCTCTTCCAAAACCAAATGTATTTACCACAAATTGCATCAAACTTTTGATTGAGCCACATTCAGATGTATAAATACTGTACAATTATACAACTTTTGGACTGGAGATGAATAATTATAGCCAACCAAAATTAAGGAGAATTTTAGCTACACCTAACCTAATTACCATTGCTCAGACTTGCCAACAAAACAACTAGTACCCTTTTTCCAAAAATTGTTTGCCAAATTCTCAGTACATTTTGGTTTCCTCGTTTAGAGGCTAGAAAAACAGCTTATTTTAAAAAATGCTGAACCCAGAGTACTCACGAGGATGATGCGAGGGCTGGAGCAGCTCTGCTGTGAGGACAGGCTGAGAGAGTTGGGGCTGTTCAGCCTGGAGAAGAGAAGGCTCCAGGGAGACCTTCTAGTGGCCTCCCAGTACCTGAAGGGGCTCCAGGAAGGGTGGGGAGGGACTTTGGCCAAGGGCAGGGAGTGACAGAACAAGGGGTGATGGCTTGAAAGTGGCAGAGGGGAGATGGAGATGAGATGTGAGGAAGAAATTCTTTGGTGTGAGGGTGGTGAGACAGTGTCCCAGGTTGGGCAGAGAAGCTGTGGCTGCTCCTCCCTGGAAGTGTTGAAGGCCAGGTTGGATGAGGCTTTGAGCAACCTGGTCTAGTGGAAGGTGTCCCTGCTGCTGGCAGGGGGGTTGGAACTGGATGAGCTTTAAGGTCCCTTCCAACCCAGATCAGTCTGTGGTTCTATGATTCTTGCTGGATACTGGCTTGGATAAAGGGTGCCATCTACTGAATTATCAGTACAGCTTCTTAAAACTCTTACAGGTTCTGTTTGGTTTTCAACTCTGCATAGTTTATATGATACCATCATAACACAAGACAGTACAATTACAGTCAAAACAATAAGCTAAAAAAAAGGCTGAAAAGTCAGTGTATAGACAAGTAAAGTTTTAGAATCCCAGAATTACCTCGATTGGAAAAGCCCTTTAAGATGATCTCCTTGCAGGGACTTGGACAGAGCCAGAAGGTCTCCCCTCAGCCTCCTTTTCTCCAGAAAGCTGCCTCTGTTTTTTATTGGAGTCTAAGCATTAATGGATATTGAAAGTGACCTAGGAAGACAGTGCTGAAGAATCTGAAAGAGGGAATTACGTTGATTTTCCTTAGCTAGAATGGTACAATGCATTCACATTTACCTAAAAGGATAAAAAAAAATAATCATTTGTTAACAGTGTAATATTTAGAATAAGGACTCAAGACACAGTTCATTTTTTGTTCTAGTGTCTGATCTTATGCAGGATGCAGATGCTGTTGATTTTTTTTTGTTTGTTTTTTGTTTTGTTTTTTTTTTTACTAGCAAGAATAGTTTATTTGTTCTTTAAATAAAATAATTCTGTGATTCTGTAAAAGTCTTTTCCAATCTAGGCTATTCTTTAATTATTTCACTGTTGTCATATAATTTAATTTAGGCTCCCCCTTACTGGTTTTATGGCTGGAAGACCAGAACAGTGCCTCTGCTTCTAAGGTGAAACTAGCCATTCCTGCCTACATGGTGTAACTTATTTAAGAATAAAAGTTTTGACTGTTCTGAAACAACATCAGCAAACGAATTTCCAGCTGGGGCTGCAGCAGTTCCATGGAGTGAGTAGAATATTACTGTAATGTCCAACACATCTAGAATACTGTTATACTCACTGGGCAGAGACCTTGAACACATCTTCATACAGACTGTTAGTTCTGTTATCTTCAGTGTTTGTATTTTCTCTTCTCTTTAGAGATGCCTGAAAGTCAAGGGAAAGACAGCGAAAGCCACATCAGCAGCAACAGTTCCAGCACTAGCAGCTCAGTTGCTTGCTTCGGACAGGTCAGCTCCTTTTGCCCAGGAGGGAAATCTGCTCTGCATATTTACTGATTTTAAGTTGGATACAATAAGGCTGAAGTCATATCAGTTACCCTAGCCAGGCTCTACTTAACTGTGCATGATAGCCTTGGCATGCCTCAGGTTATAATAAATTGTTCTGGGTTCTTCACAAAAGGTTTTTAACTTTCTTTCTAAAAATGAGGCTTTAGTCTGTCTCATTCCCAGCTGGCCTGGATCATGCTTACACACATTCTCAGTACTGGTTCAAAAAAGTCAACTACTTTCAGCTATTAAAAAAAAATAATTTAAAAATAAATTAAAATAATTTGCCAAAAAGATAAACCATATCTGGACTGAAGAGAGCTTTTGGTTGTGAAGCTCTTCTGCACGATAGGCATTTATACATGGTCCCTGAATATGGCATAGACATGCCACTCTCCCTTTTGCCCTATGCCTTTTGGTTACAGGCTTGCATTCCAGTGTCAGAAAAAGACAAAAATTTTTCCTTTAAGTTTCAATAGATCCAAATACTAGAGAGGTTTGACAGGCATTGGAGAGCACACACTCGATTGGATTCTGTGTTCTGCTGAGTGGCTGAGAGGGCAGCCACTCCATACATACACAGTTCTTAGGATTTAGCTGGTGAAATCTCTGTTCTGTCCCACAGCAGAGTGTACCGACCAGCTTTTTAGTGCTTGAATCCTTAAATATGGATTTAGGCTTCTCTAACCTTTACAGATTGTAAATTGTATTTCTACTAAGACAAGGAGCAAAAGTTAAAACACTTTAGGCTTCCAGTGATGCTGGTGTTATCCAGTGATACCAATGATGCTGGAGTTATCTAAAGGACCTTCCCTGCATGAGGGGAATTTGCTGAACACTCCTCAAGAAACTCCTATTTTGATTTTTTGCCTGAGCTGCTATCCTCCCTGCCCTGGTAGAATAAGTTTAAACTTTGGTTTTGTTGGAGTTTTTAAATAACACTTTTCTTGTTGGTCACAGAGATACTATGTTTTATTTTTGAGAAGTAAAATATAAGCTTTTATGTGTGTTCCTAGCAACCTTCACTGGGATTGTGACTGCATTAAGACTTCAATAGGATACTGATAGGCCTGGCTCATCTCAGTTCTTCTAATATAGTTGATGCTTATGAGAAATGAAAAAGAATTGCTACAGCTCAGTAATTAATGCTTGTATACATATACTTGAAGAGTAAGAGAAAAAAAACCCCAGTGTAATGCACAAACCTAACGCATGCACACCCTGAGGTCTTTCCTTGTCTGTTACATCCTGATTCTAAAAATGGAGCATACAGCGCTTGGAGAAGGACTGTGCATGAAAAAATGGGATAAAGGAGCAGATCTAAAATAGGGAGAGTGAGAAAGTTTGTCTTTCCTTGTTTTTGTCAAGTATCAATACACAGCGAGTGAATATCAAGCTATCCAGCATGCTCTTCGTCAGAGACTGGGTCCAGAATATATCAGCAGTCGGCAAGCTGGAGGAGGACAAAAGGTATGAACAAACACACATCAATGTTTCAACTCACAGTTTTTTCCAGGAAAACCAGGGTAAAAAAAAGTTCCAGTAATTTTTTTTTTTTTAAGTTAATTTCTCATTAGTAGTTTAATGTGGGGATATGAAAGCAAAGCTAGGACAGCATCAATTCTGGCTTTTACTGAGCCACAGGTTCCTTTTATTTTTTTAAAAAAAGACTTAACTTTTCTGTGCTTCATCCTGGACAATGAAATATTTATCTACTTGTGGAACATTGAGACATTTTTCTTAATTTTTTTTCCCCAGAATTGAAATATATGAAGCATTATACAACATTGGCTGCATTTTACCCTCTTTGGTGCCTGCTAGCTCTGCCTTCCCTTGATTAAGTCGTATTTATTGTCATATTAACCCCATATCACTGTTGCTGGAAGAGGGTGAACCTAAAGCTGCACCATCTATCCTTTTACTCACGTTATTGGGACCTCAAGCTTAGCTGGGTTTCCTCAGTGTAAGATGATGTGTGTAATCCCTCTTTAAAATCAAGCATGTATATATGTGTGTGCACATGTGGATGTATTTATATATATATATTTCTGTTGGTATGCTTTTCTTTTCAGGTCTGTTATGTTGAGGGTCACAAGGTAATCAGTCTGGCTAATGAGATGTTTGGCTTCAATGGCTGGGCTCATTCAGTCACTCAGCAGAATGTTGGTAAGTATCTCTTGAGGATAAGGAAGTCTTTCTTCTTGTTTCACTGTGAAGCTCTGAAGGAAAAGTCTGTCAGCTGAGGACCAGGGTATCTGTCCTAGAACTTAAGTCACTTCAAAGAACCTGGGAAGAGGCATGTGGAATTTCCAGGTGTCTTAGCAGTTGCTAAGAATGAGAGAAACGGAATAATAATGGAACTTCTGATTTATTTTTCAATCTTGCACCAGAATATGTCATAGTCATTATTTTAAGTGTGTTTATGATTATTCCTGAGCTATTCTAATCAAGTTTTCTGTTCTCTATGGGAACACTCAGTCAAGAGTAATTTAAATTAAACTATTTTACACCCAGCAGCCTTGAGCCAACTTTCATACTCACCTGTGATTTTTATATTCTAACAAGTTAATATTCTCAGTTAATATTCCCCTAATCTTTAGGGACTCATCTTTTTCTACACATTCCTCTTCTAGCCAATACCTGGTTCTGAGTTTTTTGCAGTAGAAAGCTTTGGAAAAAAATCTTATTCTAGGTAATAGTATTCAGGTGATCTTAAAGCTTAAGCTTCTTCCATCTCAATAGCTGGAATAGTACCTACCAGAGGAGTATTGTCCTTGCTTGCAGATCTGCTATCCTCAGACTGAAGACTGGTTGTTGAAGTAGCTCAACAGCAAAATGCCTCCTTCCTTCCTTCCTTCCCCCTGGCTTCAGAAATCTTTTCTTACTTCATGCTGCTAGGTTCTAGGCACAAAACAAGTTAGGTCATTGGTTTCCATCTATTCTGTACCACTTCCCCCCCCCCCCCCCCCCCTTTTCAGTCAAGAAAGGACTGACATCTTTCAAGCTTCTATCTTTTTTCAAATAATGCCTTAATAAGTCATTCTTTAGCAATTCAGAGACAGAGGATTCTGTTACATTTTAAATTCCTGGGTCGAAAAAGGGCTTGCACCTCTGCTGGGTTTACAAAACGATTGAACAAATAAACCAGCTGAGGACAGAAGGACTTTTGGACCCCAGTCCAGTTACTTGAATGTCAAAGCATTTAATTTCAGACATGTGTTATGTTACAGTCAGACTTGCAAGACTGCTAACTAGAGTGCCCCATGTGCATTGCTTTTGGTGTCAAATAAGGTAAGATTAGAGATTCTGGATTGAGAGTTGTGTTACATCCTGTTAAGCTCTTCAGGCAGTCTGTCCTGGATAAAAACTTGTGCAGAATTTTGCAAACTGCAGACTTCTAGTGTATATAGTAGGAAAGAAATTACTTTTATAGACAACAGATTTCCTTTACCATTGCTGTTTTTATAAACTGATACTCTAAATCTTTCTCCCAGCTGAAAAAATCGTTATGCTTTGAACATTTAGGAGATATAGCTGAATGAGAAGTCACATTTACAACTTTCTTTCATATGTTTAAGTTTAGGTATGTAGTTGCAAGGTGTGAGTGTTTGGCAGGTCTAGCCACTGAGAACCAGGAAGTATCACATAAAATTCCTGGAGCATATATGTACATCAACATTCACAAACTACACTTCATATTTTGTAAGTCATGCTCCATGTAATAGAAGATGATCCAGTATCCAGAAGATGATCCAGAAGATACTATCCAGTATCTTGGGCACATTCAGCAAGAACGTTCCAAGTTTATGAATGTCCTCAAAGGACAAAAGAAGATCTAAATGTGGATAAGAAGTCTTTTCTATTATTTAGGATGTTAATTTTTCTCTCCCCCAGACTTTGTTGACCTCAACAATGGCAGGTTCTATGTGGGGGTCTGTGCATTTGTGAAAGTTCAGCTTAAGGTAAGTGCATTTTTTTTGTTTGTTTGTTTGCTCTGTCTATAGTTGAGCAGTTGCCTAAAGCTGTGAGTGAGAGTTCATGCAGGGGTCAGACTGTGGTTCTTGAGTACTGTACTATACCAGAGAACCTCATGGTGTCCAAAACATTGACCTTGCTATAGAACAATCAGCCAAGAGCACATAATCAGGCTTTGGAAAGCACAGCATTTAACAAGAAGTGCTGTATGTACAGAAATTCCCTTATACTTTAAAAATATACTTATATTTTAAAAATTTCACTGCAGGATGGGTCATACCATGAAGATGTGGGGTATGGAGTCAGTGAAGGCCTAAAGTCTAAGGCCTTATCCCTAGAAAAGGCAAGAAAGGAGGCAGTAACAGATGGACTGAAGAGGGCACTCAAGTAAGTGAAGATCAGTACTTGTACATTTTTCAGAAGTTAAGTGAGAATTAAGTGTTATTTTCAGTCACAGTGAGCTCTCTTATTTCTCAGGTGCTTTGGGAATGCTCTGGGGAACTGCATCCTAGACAAAGACTACCTACGAGCCGTGAATAAGCTTCCACGTCAGGTGCAGTACATGGGCTGTTAGAGCAGGGACTGCTACAAGTCCACTGCTCCTGGTCCTTCATATTAAAAAGATTATAAATAATGATATGAATGCATCTCATCTCGGAATGTTTGCAATAGCCTTTGCCTGCTAGTTTGTGTGAGCTGTTTGTCACAGAGGTCTTCCCCCATGTTTTACCACAGCTATTCTTAAATTTTGACTATTTGCAGTACAGTAAGAAGCCATGTTACATCTTACTTTGCTTTTCGGTCTCCTCACCTCATGAGGTTTCAGTTTGCAAGGGGAGAGCTGCAGTTACTTTACCCTCTGTGAAACACTAGGTCAGTGAACCTTCTGGTGTAACCAACACCATGGAGAAACCCCTCTTTTAGAGGTCTTTGGTCCAGAGAGGGCCAAGAAATTCTGATGTACATCTTCATCAGTAACAACCATGCTGTAACCCCGTTCTTTCAGAGCTGTTGCAATTTGTCAGTCTGCTGTGATGTGACACAGCAGTCTTCATAGTATTAAAGTTGTCCTGGCTCTTGTTGAGATTGCACCTCAGTACCCAACGTTAATCTTGTTAGCTCCTGATGTGTACAGCTGGGGACACCAGGCTTCCAGGTGGTAAACTGCCTTGCTCACTGAGGAACAAGTAAGCTTTTTACACCTGCTGATCCACGGAGTTTCACAATAAAATTGCATCTATTATACTGGGATTTACCAAACTCTACTTTAGTACCTCGATTTACTCCATTTACTAAAGGTCTCTGCTTACCTCCACTCTACCAAACAGCCTGGCACTGTAAGGCAGTTCTGTCCAGCTAACTTAGACTGTAGGGGCAGATCCAGAGTGACACCTTGCCAACTAAAGGTGGCACAGATCTCTGCTTTGCCAGGGTCATTGGCTCTTAGAGGCATTGCCACAAATTTGTAAAATCAGAGCCAAACCACTGAATTGGCTTGATTGAAAAAGCCCTTTCAGATCATGGAGTCCAACCATGAACCCAACACTGACCAGTCCCCTATGACTAACCCATGTCCCTCAGCACTATGTCTACACCACTCTTCAATCCCTCCAGGGATGGGGACTCCACCACTGCCCTGGGCAACCCCTTCCAATGCCTCAGAACCCTTGCAGCAAAGAAATTCTTCCTCACATCCCATCTCAACTGCCCTGGCCACAACTGGAGCCCATTTCCTCTTGTCCTGTCCCTTGGTCCTTGGTTGAACAGACCCACCCCCACCTCTCTCCACCCTCCCTGGAGGGACTTGGACAGAGCCACAAGGTCTCCCCTCAGCCTCCTTTTCTCCAGGCTACACCACTCCATCTTAAATAAAAGAGAGAACAGTGTACCTTCCTCACTGACCTCCCAGTTGCAGAGCTCAGTAAAGTCTCGCTGTGCCCTTTCGTGCGAGCACAACAATGGAACTGAGAAAACTAAGAGCCTCAGCAGCAGCTTTGTGAGACTGTCTGAGCAGCTGCCCAGTTCTGCATCCAGCACCTGCATCTGTTCTCCTTTGCTGAGAGCACAGCGTGGGGTTTGGGGGCACAGGGGCTCTCTGAAGAGCTGAGCTGTTAAACTGACACATGAACACAGGGATTAACGACCTGCATGACTTTGTACTGAAGATGCACTCAGGTTCCTCACTTACTGTCCCACTTCCAGCAAACAGACTCGATTTTTCAACCGTACCACGTAGAAAAAGCCTGCGTGCATTTCATTAACCTGACAAAGGAAATCTCTGAATATTTTTCTTTTTCTCCTTTACTAGATACCCCCTGAGTTAGATTTGGTCAACGCTAAAAGACAGGACTATGAGCCTGAAATAGAGAAAGCAAGATACAATAGCTGCTTGGAAAGGCAGAACAGGGGAGGGAGAGAACGCTGTGAGATGGCATCGACTAATATAACACCTGGTCAGACAGAGACCATTGTAGCGACAGGAGATCAGAAACAGCCCAGTAGTTCCAGGTGAGACTGCTGTTTATTTATTTATTTATTTATTTTATAAGCCATATCAGAACTTACTGTTCTGATAACAAAACTTCTAACAAAAGAAGTTTCTAACTTCTAACAAAAAAAAAAAAAAAAAACAGTGGACAGACCCATTTGGAAGATGCCATAAAAATGCTCATGTACTGGATTTTCCTTGCTGTTATTTCTTTATGCATTTTTTTTTTCCTTCATAAAAATGGAATTGCTGAAATCCTGTTTAACTTTGTGCTTCGTCGGGGGGGACGGGGCAGAAATACAGACTCCTCAGCTACCGAGTGTGACGCCACTTACCAGCGGAAACTGCGACAAAAGCAGCTACAGCAACAGTTCCGGGAAGAGATGGAGAAAAAGCGGCAGGTTCCAGCAGTTCCTCCTGGCAGCAAACAGGGTAAGGCTTGGCACTGAAAATTCACAGAATCATGGAATGGTTCCGTTAGCAAGGGACCTTAAAGCTCATCCAGTCCCAA